ATAGACACTTAAATTCCATTCCGGAAAGATGCATTGAAGAAAAAAAGTGTAAATAGCCCAATTTGTCTTCCGAAATATACTTTTATCGGATGTAGAAAATGGGGATTGAATCACTACTGGAAAATGGTCAGAGGTACCTTCACCGACTACATCTATTTTCCAACCCTCTGAATCGTTTGTAATTCCAAAATCAATTATCGCGTCTGATTTCCGCGAAGTCGGTTTTGACGACACTATCATTTCAGATCCTGTATTCTCAAGTCAATCTAAAAGCTGACTTCCGCTTTGATTATTAACCTTGCAGTTCCATTGTGTATGTTTTGCGTTGTAGTCCCCAAAATATAAAACCGCTTACCTAAATATCTTTGAAAGATATGAAATGGAGGAGACTTTGGTGGTACATAAACAACTCCCACGAAAATGGGATATGGACTTAAATCTACTTTAATGAGCAGAAAATTATCTTCTCTAGCGATTACAACGCTTTTTATTGATGTGTGTATTAAAAAGGCAACACCACCATATGAATTAGTACCTGCTTATCCAGTTTCGAAAAGCATATTATAAAAAAAATGACACATCAAAATATTATAGCGGCATTATCATTAGAAAAAGGTAAATCGTCAAAATCGTTTTCTCCAGCATTTGCGTTTTGGGCCAGAAAAAATTTCGAGAAAAAAGAAATTTCAGGTGTTGATGTTTTATATTGTATATCGAGTAAAAAGCCAGTTTGTATTTATGAATCATTTTATCATGTTATCCAAGAATGTCACAAAAGTATTTCACATGGTGGTCGCGACAAAACAATTGCTGAAGTTGCAGCACATTATTCGTGGATTTCAAGAAATGTTATTGAAATTTATCTGAAACATTGTTCAGTTTGTCAGCTACGAAAACCGATTAAACATCCAGTCGTTTCAAAGCCCATTATTTCGTTAGGTGTCATGACGCGTCTTCAAATCGATTTGATTGATATGCGAACACGTCCGGATGTTATATCAATTGATGTTTCGTATTTATGGATTTTAAACTGCATTGGCCATTTTTCTAAATTTTCGTGGAGTTACCCATTGCAGAGTAAATCAGCGGTTGAAGTGGCTCAAAAATTAAGAGCATTATTTTTCGTTTTCGGACCGCCACGTTTATTGCATTCGGACAACGGAGCCGAGTTTGTCGCTAATGTTATCGTTGAATTGAAAGTATTATTTCCAGACATGTGTTTTGTACGAGGTCGTCCCCGTCATCCCCAATCTCAAGGTTGTGTTGAGCGTGCAAATGGTGTTTTGACGGTTGCTTTAGGCAAATGGTTAGTAGACAACAATTCAAGTCACCGGTCAGGAGGTTTGTTACCTGTCGTTTATAGAATCAATACACGTGTGGCTGCTGCAACAAAATGTACTCCATACGAGGTTATGTTCGGTCAGCGTCCGAGATCCAATTCCGATTTTTGGAAGATTGTGCAAGATCAAGATATACAAGATGAAGTTCAACTACCAACACCTGTTGAAGAAAATGAAGATTTACAAGATGAAGTTGATGTTACGAATCAATTAAATTCAGTTACTAGCAAAAATATTGTTGTCGTTGATCAGTTATTTGATATTCCGGAAAATAGTACTATTTGAAAGTCGCTTATTGATTTATCGTTCAACATTATTGATAATCCGTCATCTGATGATTTGTTGTCGAATAATTTAATGTCGTTTAATTCACCAACTACTGCTTCTTTTCCACCACGTTTGCCATCTAGCCCAATATTTGATTTAAACGATTCATTAATTCCACCTGATTCACCGGTTGAAACTAATCCAAAAACAAGTGCTGAAATGCTCTTCCACGATCTAGATGTTTTTATTGATCCGCTTTCTTCGGTTGTTGTCCAGCCAAATGTTATTCCTGAACTTAAATCAAAACCATCAATTCCATTTCCATCTATCCGTAATACCAGTCAATCATCAATACCAGTTGCCGATTTATTAGCTATATTATCCACATCACCCATACCATCTACCTCCGGTGTTCCATCTTCGACCAATAACGTTTTTAATATTTCCTCACCTCGACATACTCTAGTTCGTAAACAAGCTGAAGGAAATAGCGAACAAAAAAAGAAAAAAGTACGACGAACATCTCAATAATTTAGCCGAACAGTTCAAATTACGTGATTGCGTTGGTATTCCAATACATTCTGTTGATCGTACAAATACCGATGCCAAATTACTACCATGCTTGATTATTGCAAAAGAAAAAAAAGGTGACGATGTTGGATTTCGATTGGCTTGCCAGTTTGGTGAAATGCAAAATTGGTACACAGTAGAATCACTTGTTGATTTGAGATCTTCATGTCCATCTTAATTAAAATATATAGACATTAATAATCTGGATGGAATAACATTTATCGAAGCATGTAAATTATTTGTTCGTGGGGCGGTGAATGGTGCTACTTGTGACTGTAAGGGTCAATGTGATACAAAACATTGTGCATGTAAAAAAAAAGACGTGTTTTGTTCCACAAAATGTCATTCAAAACGTGGAAATTGTAAAAATATGAAATAGCAGGAATTAGTGGAGCAGTATTATACATAGCTGAGAGAGTAAAAGTTAGATGTAAATATACTAATATCGTTTTCGTTTTCTTTCTTGTAATTGACATTTCCCTACGAGACTAAATATCTCATTTTCTAATGATAACGCTTGTTGAACAGAAACATTTTTTTTGCAACATTTTCCTTTTTTTAGTAATAAAACTCAACTTCATACTATAATAACGGTTGTTATCAAAACTTACAAAACAAAAAATAAAAAACTACTAATTTATTATGTATTTTCCTTACTTATGTATGTATTTGTCCTTTTCTTTTTCAGTATACTGAATATGGTCAACTTAAGTTAGGAGTCTATATTTTTATAATCAACAAAGCGGTATACTTTGTTTTTAATTTAAACATAACGAACTGAGAACGTCTCTTTCTTTTGCACTGCCCTATAATTCATTCATAGAACAGACAGTATCTCTTAAATTTGCCGTCGTGATTTATGAATAAAGCCTGGCTTTATTCATAAATCACGACGGCAAATTTAAGAGATACTGTCTGTT